GGGAAGAGGAGAGAAATCCCAGAATACCAATGTTCATCAGGGCTGGAAGAGAAATGGTTCAGCTTACAGGACTGAGGGCTCCTTTTAGGAGGGCTGGGGTAGGGCTGGGAAGGAACTAATGGTTATCTGATTCATTTGATTGTAAGGAAAAGATGAAGGAGAGGTGTTTTATAAAGGCTTTCGAATATTTGGGAATAAAGTTTCTAAAAATTAAGCAAATGAAAAAATATTTTTTCCAAAGAGTTGTACAAAATGAGAAATATGATCATAGTTTACAACTTTGATCTGAAGTAGACAATATTTATGGTCATAACAATGTAAGTTGAATATAGATTTAATTTGATTTGTGATATATTTATGAGATGCTGAAGGACTGAGAATTTTTCTGTGGTCTGTGTAAGTACTTGTTCCTGCAGCTATTTTTCCTCACCATTCCACTATGTGACTTTAGCCCCTAATTTTTCCTCCCATCCCTCTGTATAAAATCCAAATTACTCAAACAATGGCTTGTAACCTGCAAGAATAGATTACAAGAATAATTCTAAGAGCAATCTTGAACTACTTGTATCTGAAACCAATTGAACTTAGTTGAACTTTGGCTGCTCTTGGTAAAGTCCTATGAAGCTTTTAGTCCTCTTCCTCCAAGATAGATGTTCTGAGTTTTCTCACACCCATCATATATATATATATATATATATATATATATATATATATATATATATATATATATATATGATGGATCTTTATTTTATTTATTTACATGCAGTGCTGAGAATCGAACCCACTGCCTCAAACATGCCAGGCAAGAATACTACCCCAGCCCCAGCCCCACATCCATCATATTTAAATAAAGAGCTTTGAGTTCTTCTTTTCCTATTTGTATCCCTTTAATGTCCATCTAATCGCTCTGGCTAGAGTTTCAAGGACTATGTTGAATAGGAGTGGTAAGAGAGGGCATCCCTGTCTTGTTCCAATTCTTAAAGGGAATGCCTCCAATTTTTCTCTATTTAGAATAATGTTGGCCTTGGGCTTAGCACAGATAGCTTTTACAATGTTGAGGTATATTCCTACTATCTCAAGTTTTTCTAGTGTTCCGAACATGAAAGGGTGTTGTATTTTACCAAATGCTTTTTTCTGTATCTATTGAGATGATCATATGATTTTTAACTTTAAGTCTATTGATGTGATGAATTATGTTTATTGATTTCTGTATGTTGAACCAACCTTGCATCCCTGGGATGAATCCCACTTGATCATGGTGCACTATTTTTTAATATGTTTTTGTATGCAATTTGCCAAAATTTCATTGAGAGTTTTTGCATCTGTGTTCATCAAGGATATTGGTCTAAAGTTTTCTTTCTTTGATGTGTCTTTCTCTGGCTTAGGTATCAAGGTGACAACTAGCCTCACAGAATGAGTTTAGAAGGATTCCCTCCTTTTCTATTTCATGGAATAATGGAGGCATATAGGTATTAATTCTTCTTTGTAGGTCTTGTAGAACTTGGATGAAAATACGTCTGGTACTGGGCTTTTCTTGGTTGGTAGGCTTTTGATGGCATCTTCTACTTCATTTCTCAAAGTAGATCTGTATAAATATTGTGTATGTCTTCCTGATTCAGTTTGGGCAGCTCATATTTCTCTAGAAATTTGTTGGTGTCTTTGATATTTTCTATTTTATTGGAGTATAAATTTTCAAAATAGCTTCTAATTATATTCTGTATTTCCATTGTATCTGTCATGATATTTCCTTTTTCATCACGAATTTTAGTAATTTGAGTTTTCTCTCCCCTTCTTTTCATTAGGGTGGCTAAGGACTTATCAATTTTATTTATTTTTTCAAAGAATCAGCTTTTTGTTTTGTCAGTTTTTTCAATTGTTTCTTTTGTTTCGATTTCACTGATTTCAGCCCTGATTTTAATTATTTCCTTTCTTCTACTACTTTTGGTGGCGAGGATGTGGAGAAAAAGTACACTCATACACTGCTGGTGGCACTGCAAATTAATGCAACCATTATGGAAAGCAGCATGGAGATTCCTTAGAAAACTTGGAATGGAACCACCATTTGACCCAGCTATCCCACTCCTGGGTCTATACCCAAAGGAGCATACTATAGTGATGCAGCCACTTCAATGTTCACAGCAGCTCAATTCACAATAGCTAAACTGTGGAACCAACCTGTTGATGCCCTTCAACAGATGAATGGATAAAGAAACTGCGGTTCATATACACAATGAAATATTACTCAGCATTAAAAGAGAATAAAATTATGGCATTTGCAGGTAAATGGATGGAGTTGGAGTATATCATGGTAAGCGAAATAAGCCAGTCACAAAAAACCAAAGGCTGACTGTTCTCTCTGATAAGTGAATGCTGACCCATAAGAGGAGGGTCAGGGGGAGAATGGAGAAACTTTGATTGGGTAAAGGGGAAGGAATGAAGGGGGTAGAAAAGATGGTGGAATGAGATGGACAACATTACCCTAGGTACATGTATAATTGCACATGTGGTGCAATGATACATTGTGTACAGAGAAATGAAAAGTTGTGCTCCATTTGAGTACAATGAATCAAAATGCATTCTTCTATCATGTATAACTAAAGAGAACAAATAAGAAATAGAAAATAAAAAATAAAGAAATAAAGAGCTTTGCAAATGGGGATCTGGTTGATTTTCTTCCATAAATTATACTGCAAAAAATGGAGTAAGGGAGTTACGTCATCATCTATGATAAGTCAGTAGATTTCATCTAACTAATTTATAGGAACTCAGCTCAGAAATTGGGTGAATGCAAAGAACTGTGGTTCTTTAAAGACACCAATATTTGCTGATGCAAGTGTTTGAAATGGTACCACTGCTTGTCCTTAATTAAGTCTTCCTAACTAAAAACCTAAGGTTAAACAAGACATAAAGTAGGCTGGGATTGTAGCTCAGTGGAAGGGCTCTTGCCTAGCCTGTGTGAGGCACTGGGTTCCTTTCTCAGCACCACATACAAATAAACAAAATGAAGTCCATCGACAGCTAAAAAATGATGAAAAATAAGACATAAAGTGCTCTATGGCCTATCCATAGTTTTTACTGGGTAATTTAGATTTCATACAAACCATCCTTTATTTTAAGAGTAGTTTGTTTATTAGGAAAAAAAAAAGCACATACCTCAAACCAAATCTCCAAGCCATATTTTTTCCTAACACAGAAGGAGGCCTCTCTGGAGGTTTTTCCAGACTTACCACTTAACAGTGGTGCAGCCAAAAATAAACCCATGTGGACTTTCCTAAGCAAATTCAACAGCACACCAACTACTACTTCATGGAGAGCTGCCTTGCTTTTTCCCAAATAGCCTCTCAGAGGACCCCCACCCACATTCCATCTCCTAATTAGAAAGCTAATTAGGATTCCAAATTTAAATGCTAAATGGAGAGGGCGATCTGGTAGCAGGCCAGGATTCCCTGAACATCAAACGGTCTCCTCTGTCCTGTTAGTGTGGGAAGAGAGCTGGGGCCACAGGGACATTTGGGCCATTTGACTTGCTGGAGGGCAGTGTTTACTCTCATTTGTCTGAGACAGAAGATGTGTTGAACAAACTGTAAACTCTGAAAAAACAAAAAACAAAAAAAAAAAATTAAAAACCACAAAAAACATGCCTTGGCATTTAGGTACTTTAAGGAAAAGAAAGAAGTATCTTTTTATAAACCCAATTATTATCATGGTGACATAAGGGGCTGTAAGGAGTTCCCCTCAAGAATGGTTCCTAGTTTCAGCCAGGCAGCTTCTCAATAGTGTGGGGCGACTTCTTCAGTTACCATGACAACCAAAATTAGAAGGGCTTTTGCAACACTAACAGAAACCATCTTTTGAAGCGCTTCTTTGAATCACATTGAATGTTGATGATGCAAGCTTGTGCGATACATATTTTTCAAATATTTTTAAAAACCCTATTACCATAAACAAATACTCGCTTTAGAGTCCCATTTGAAATCTTGGAACAAAAAATTTCGGCTGGTTTTGTTTGTTTCTCTTTTGGATTCCCGTGGCCTGGAGTGCAAACGCGATTTGTTTAATATCCAAACTTGTTTGCATTACACGGGTGAGAGCTTAGAATATGATTCATTCGCTCTTATTTTGAAACGGGGTGAGGAACGGGGTGGGGGAGGGTGGGTCTAACATAGAGCCCTCTTGTCCATTAAACTCTGGGAGGACGCAAACGCGGAGACCGAGAAAGGGGGAGAGTGGGGCTTGGATGGGAATGGGGATGAGGGAAGAAAAGAGGGGCAGAGAGGAAGAGGAAAGGAGCAAAGGGAAAAAAAGTACAGATGGCTGAATCTTGGTTGCGCTAAAAGCATCATTAGCGATTGCCTTGACCTCTCCATCTGCCCAGATCGCATGCGGAAGCTCATCAGAAATCGGCTTTTTAAAAACCCCATTGGGATTCTTTCTTGGTGGCATCACAGTCCTCGATGTCCTACAATTCCTGGAGGGCTATTCGGGAAGATAGTAGAGGCTCCTCCTAACTTTGCTCGGTCTTCCAGAAGAAGCACCTTTCTCTAGGGAGAGTCGTGATGCCGGGTGTGGCGAGAGCGATGTCCACCTCCAGCCTGGCTTGCGCCCGTGGGGAGGTCACACAGGTCCCCAGACCTGTTACAAACTAACGGATTTGCGGGTGCACATGGTCAGCTGTGCCAGCACCGCACAGACACCGGTACTCAGACGCGCATACAGACAGGGGAGCCTTATAGGACTGGGGCACAGACGCGCGAGCACGCCCTCTCCTCTTGCGCGCTGATCCATCCGAGGGAGGAGGAATGAGGACGCCCCAAGGAGCGCCCAACCTTCTCCTGACCCCACTTGACTGCCACACTAGTTCCCAACGTGTGTCTCTCTTTCTCTTAGAGGTCTCGGGGAGGAGAGGCGTCCCCTGTGCAGCCAGCCAGGTCTGCAGCCGGGCAGAGGACAGGCAGGCACGGGTAGGGGGGCTGGCGAAGAGCCCGCCGCCCCTCGCTTACCTCAGTCTGGAGGCCGGCTACCTGGCTTTGCTGCGCGGTGCCGGGCTAGGAGCGCGAGGTGGCCGGTGCTGGGGCAGGGACGGGTGCGCAGGGGTGTCCCAGCGCGCGGGCGTCGCGGTCGCGCGCGAGGCTCCGAGAGCTGTCAGGGGCGGCCAACTTGACACACTCAGCCCAGCAAACCGCGCCTGTTGGCCCCAGCTGGGCCGCGGGGACTGAAGCCCCCTCAGCGTTTCCCGAAGGACCAATCCCGAGCTAGGGGCCGGCCCAGGGACGGGTAAAGGAGGGCCGGCGGGGCGCCGGGACGCGGGCCTGGACCTGGCAGGCCGGTTTCTATGGCAGCCAGGAGGGAGGGGCGGGAAAGAGGAGGGCGTGCGGCGCAGGGACACCCATTGCAGACGCTCCGGGAGGGGATTCGGGCCTGCTGCAGAGAGGATTCCTCCTAGAGAGTGAATGGGAAGCGGCGACATAGCAGCCAGAGGGTTGACAAAGGTCGTATCAATTTAACGTGAGCGGAGCCGCTCTAGAGCGAGGCTTTTGGTGTCTTTGGAAGACCGCAACACAGTAATCCTCCCAACCGATTGGGAGTTTCTGGCAAAGTATTGTGACAGCTTGTACGGGTGAGTCTGGCAAGGTTTAGTCTCTGCAGAAATACTAATGCCACCCCTCTGCCTGGCTTCCTGGCATACATGGGGCCTGGGCCTCGTGGTGCCACTTTGGAGTCTCCCTAAAACCTTGCATACTCCCAGCTGTGATCCTCTAATATTAGGTGCCAAATATTATTTTTCCAGTTTACAAACAAGGAAACAAGTCGCTGCACTGAATGTAGAACTGGGAATTCAATTCACAGAATGCTAAGCGTAGAAGGTATTTATTGACGTGTAAACAGTCAAATAACTGTTAATAACTCTATTAAACAGTGGAGGAGCTGAGTTCAAAGAGGTCAGTTGATTTAGCAAGAGTCACACAGCTAGTTAGGGCAGAGCCAGGAGTAGACACCCTAAGTTATAGCTCTGTGAGCAATCTTTCCACCTCCTCATGCTACCTATCCTGTATTCATCATTTTCAGGGCAATATGTACAAGAGCAAAAATGAGGAGGAGAAAAATAATCTGGCCAAAATTCTTTTATGGTAGAAATTAAGGGATATACAAAGATGATGATGACGATGGCGGCTACTTGTTAGGCACTGTTTTACAAAAATCAGTTCATTAGGTACTCACAACATCTATGATTTAGGTTCTGTTATTACCATCCCTGTTTTGATAAATGAGGAAACTGAGGCCTAAAGAGGTCATATGACTTGCTCAAGGTCACACAGCTGTAGAATGCTGGTGCAAGGACAGAAACCCAGGTCATCTGACTCTAGAGATGGTCCTCATCCTTGCTACACATCTCTGCTATCTCTCTGTGTGATGATTACAGAGGTCAGGAACAGGCAGGGCAAGGAATAAAACCTTGGACAGCTCCATGCACTGGCCATTGGCAGGAAGAACTTTAAACAATTGCTTCCTTGGTTTATGACAATAATTATGTAGGGTAAGTATTCTCTATGAGAAATATTTGTTTTTAAGGAAAAGACAAGAGTTATTTTTAAAAGAATAATCTTTAAAATAGTACGTGCCCATTTTCTTTATAAAGGCAATAAAATACAATGCAATATATTGCATTTTTAAAAAGACATGGAATACCCCTTGAATCCTACAACATGACAATACACAGGATAAAATTCTATAGGGAAATTGCCTAGAAACCAAGAACCTCAAAAAATCCCAATTTGATGTCGTCTCTGTGCACTGGCTTTCACATAATGCCCACAAAAAACAAGGAAAAGTTAAAACTGCATTAGAAATCATGTCTCCTGAAGTCAATTTGCCAGACCTGGTTTCAGGATCCTGCCCCTGCACTTTTACCTTTTCTGCTACATTCTAGGTAATGACTTCAGATCTATTTTCTGTTTCACTAATTCTCCCCAAAGCTGTTTAACCTCTATGTTACCTTTATAAACCTTGAGAATGCAACTATAACTAACAAACCCAGAGGTGGAAGTATGAATGGGCCAATTTCAGCATTTTCACAGGTTGGGATAATTGATAGTTTAAAATGGAATCGCTTATTTACAACTAGTGTTTACTAAAATTCTTTTTCCTTAACTTTACAGGAACCTTTTAGGAACTAATATTTCCTGTGATGAAGAAACATTTATCTGAAGTTTATTCTGCTTTCTTTCTTCTTTCTGTTAAATTCTAGCAAAATTAAACAGAAAGAATTAAAACTAGCATGGTAGTCCTGTTTGTAAAATCAGTCTTTCTCTCTCTCTCTGGTGTGTGTGTGTGTGTGTGTGTGTGTGTGTGTGTAGATAGATATCTGGAATGACATCCATCTAATGTTAATAATAGTTATTTCTGATTAATGGATTTTGTGTGCTTTTTTAAACTTACTTATTCTAAACTAAGTAATTCTTTTACTTTAGAAGGTCTAATTTAACAACAACAAAAGGAAAATGAAAAAAAGGTTGCAAAATTTAGTGACTTGAGTGAGGGGCCACTACCTCTCCCTCTGCCACTCAGCTTAAATTCTATTGATATTCTGAGTATTTTTGTTTGTTTTTTGTTTTTGTGGTACTGGAGTGTGAATCCAGGGATGCTCTATTTCTGAGCTACATCAGTCCCCAGTCCTTTTAATTTTTTTGTTTTGAGACAAGGTCTCACTAAATTGCAGAGTCTGGCCTTGAACTTGTGATCCTCCTGCCTCAGCCTCTGAGTCCCTGTGATTACAATTGTGCACCACCATGCCCAGCTCTCCAAACTTTTCTTGAATGTGAAGTCACGTATAGCAATGACTGTGAAAGTTTCTTATGAATGGCGTTTGGTTATTATTTTCAACTGGACAATGAAGAACAGCTGAAGCCTCTAGGTCCATTGATACTTAACAAAGTCACCTATTTTTTTTTTAATCAAATTACTTTCATTTGAAGAAAGCACTATTTCACTTAGACTAAGGTTCTAAACCTGTATTACTTTCTGTATTGTTTCCTAGTAGTATCTGAAGTCATATGTGACTTAGATAACTATTGTTTCACATAACACGATTATTCTTCTAATACAGCTGATCTACCAGGCCTCTAAACCAGAGTGAGTAATCAACCGTTTTCCTAAGTGAACTCAATTCATACCTGCCTCTTGGAAAGTATTGGTTAACATTTTGTGTCTAAAGTATACTTGAGTTACCCAGATGAAGCAAAAGTATACCTGGCTAATTATTCTGATTTTGGGGGTTCTTTGTGTTTTATTGTTCTCTAGCATTTCATCTTTGTGGCATTTTCATTTCAAACATAAAAACATTTAGCTACTGAGAATAAGTAGAATGTTCTTGTTTTATACTAAAAAACCTAAAACTCCGAGGCTGGGGTTGTGGCTTAGTGGTAGAGTACTCACCTATCACATGGGAGGCACTGGGTTTGATCCTCAGCACCATATAAAAACAAAGAAACAAACAAATAAATAAAGGTATTGTGTTCATTTACAACTAAAAAAATTACAAAAAAAAAAAAAAAAACAACCTAAAACTTGTCTCAGTCCAGCCATCACAGAGGCTAACTTGAACAATAGGTAACAAAGAAAATGTTTCTATAACAACACCTGGCTGATTTATGAAAAGAAGAGGCCCTCAGAAAGGTCCATTCCAGGGCTGGGAATGTAGGCCAGTTGGTAGAATGCTTGCCTAGTGTGCACAAGGCCCTCGGGTTTATCCCCAACACCACAAAAATAAAAACGGTTCTACTGGCCAATCCATTGAACTTCCTTGAGGTGCCCTCTGTCCGTTCTCCCAGTGTGGTCTCAGGACTAACAGCATCAGTATTACTTGGGAACTTGTTAGAAATGCATATTCCAGCCGCTTCCGGTCGCGAGCGCCGGGGGTCGGGGCGCGTTCTGAGGGTGCCGGGTCCTGAAGAGTGAAGACCTAAATCCAAGGTCATGGCAAAGCACCTGAAGTTCATTGCCAGGACTGTGATGGTACACGAAGGGAACGTGGAAGGTGCATACAGAACCCTGAACAGAATCCTCAGCATGGATGGGCTCATTGAGGACATTAAACAACGAAGATACTATGAGAAACCTTGCCGCAAGCAACAGCGGGAAAGCTATGAAACCTGCAGGCGGATCTACAACGTGGAAATGGCTCGAAAGATCAACTTTTTGTTGCGAAAGAATCGGGCAGATCCATGGCAGGGCTGCTGAGACGCGGATAGAAGGCCCACATCCAGTTTGTCTCCACCTCTTTCTCTATAATAAACTCAAATCAACTATATGCAAGAAAACTTACATGTAGAGAAGCAACCCCACTGGTTAGCAGTAGACTGTCTTTCTTATTAAGTGAAAGAGAAACAGTCCAAAAGTAGTCTAGGAGTAGAATGGTGGTGGTTAAAGGATAGGGAAGGGGGCTATCAGCAATTGTTTAATGGGCGTAGAGTGTCAGTTTGCAAATCTGAAAACATTCTGAAGATAGATGGTGATGGTTGCAAAAAAAAAAAAAAGTGAATGTACTTAATGCCACTGAATTACACACTTTAATAGTTTAAAAATGGTAAAGTATTTACAATAAGTATGTTTAATTCTAGGGTATGTAAGGAAAATTTACAAACTCTGGTGGGACATATACCTACCATATTCTACCCACTTTTATGAACCCTAAAGCAAAATCTTATTGGGAAAGCTTCAGTTACTTTTTACTGAGCTACTCCCCGCATCTCCGTGCAACCATTGAACAAAGAGGAGAGGAATTATTTATGTATTTGGAATAAATCTGCTTCCAAAATACCTTAACAGTAGGCTGGAGTGATGGAATCCTTGCCCAGAGCAATAAAAGACAAGTTAAAAAAAAAAAAAAAAAAAAAGAAACGAATATTCCAGGGCCCTAACCCAGAACAACAAAATCAGCAGGTCTGAGTATGGGGTCCAGCAAGGTATTTACAAGATTCTGATAATCTGCTAAAGTTGGAGAACTGTGGAGAGACAAGAATCCGTGAGAAGGACACCAGGTTTGTTCCAAGAGGATGTGTGTGTGTGTGTGGGGGGGGGGGGGATGCTATTGTCCTCCCAAAGAAGACCAACTTGGGAAAGTCAGATACATGAATGGGTGTTTTTAGGGAGAGAAAGGAGGTGCAGAGTGAGAGTGGGCGGGAAGGCTGAGCAGGGTCTTTATCATATAGGGAGTGTGCTCCCCTGCCCCTTGGCCAGAACATCAAAGTCATCCTTCACCTTTTGGTGCTTGTTTCTGTAAGTCTTTAGACGAATGCATTACTTTTCTGCAAGGTAAGCATCATCTTATACATTCTCATATAATGGAAAAGTCACCAGATGTTCTGGATTCTATAAATCTGAGCAAAAATTCTTTAACAGTTAACATCTTAATCATTTAGGCACTGCTTTTGAGTTTACAATGACATGGAAAGAGAGGGGTAATAACTCTGCAAAGGACAATTCACAAAAGTGGCTCTGTTACATATATGTGTTGCCTCAGGGAAGAGAGGTATTAAAAGATGATATGCTGCATTTATCTTGCCATCTTTCTTCATCTCTTATCTCCTCCACTCCCAATCCCATCAAGGACTGGTATAGATTCCAAAAAGAAAGTAGATGTCTATCTTATGTGTTATGATTTGAATCTGAAGTTCCTCTAAAATTTGTGTATTTGACCAAGGCTTGGTTGCCAGTTTGAGGTGCTGTTGAGAGAGGGTGGGATCTTTGGGGACTGGGGCTCCACTGGAGGAAGTAGATCTGGGGGCAAGCCTCTGAAGGGTGTATTTTGTCCATTTGCTTCTCTGCCCCTTTTCCCTTCTTCTCTCCTCCCATTCCCAGCTGCTATGAAGTGAGCAGTTCTGCTCCACTACTTGCTCCCTATCATGATGTTCTGCCTCACCAAAGGGGTCCAAAGTGAAAGGGTAAAGAGACCATGAACTGAAACTGAGCCAAAATAAATTCCTCCTTTAGGTTGGTTTTCTCAGGTATTTTGTCACAGCAATGAATATCTAACACCCTATGTTTTATGCAATCCAATGTCAATTTCAAAGACCTCTCTTAGAGAATTCTATTTTGTATCAGGAGCATAGTCTGTAGTGTGGGGGTGGGGCATAAGGAGTCCAGCTAACCTCAGTTCAAATACTGGTTCCACTCTTACCTACTGTTTCTCATCCCCTTCCTCAAGTTCCTTCATTTATAAAATTTGAGAAAATAACAAAGTGACCTTATGGAGTAGTTGAGATAACTAAAAGTGTACACTACATAAGTAATTCATAAATGATAGCTATAATGTTGCAATGAAATAGTCACTGACTGGGAGTTTGTGGAGGTCTCCAGGAGTGGAGGACACCTCTACTCGGACCCTTCATATTTTTGACCATCTCACAGAGAAGAATTTAAGGATTGACAGGTCCAAGTCGAGAAAGAGATTTATTGTAGAAAGTACATGTTCAGAATGAGAATGTGGGCAATCTCAGATCCTTGTTCACCTATTCTGGGCTTTTAACATTTATAGAGGAATAGTAGTTAGGGGACCAAAATAGAGTGAAGTCAGGACCAGGTTACATACTTTTGTGCTAATTTTCCTTGCACTTGCACATTGCTCTTGCATGTTATAATCATGCATCTCCACCCACCTGGGGTATTAAATCTCTACCTAGGGTTGTGTGTCTTGCTATTATAATGAGACGAAGGTCATTCTCAGTTACCAAAGTCTTTAATGGCACACTCTCTAAAGGAGTGGTTTGTCCAGATGCCTCATGGTTATCTTGTGGTTCTAGTACTTTCTCATCAGCTGGCAAGCCAAAGACAAGCACAAAGGGTACACTAGGTTACTTCTAAGTTGTTCTGCATTCCAATGGTGTACGGGTGTTTCTCTTGAGATTCTGTTCTCTCTGTATCTCTAAATTCCTATCTCAAAGTTGTTCTTCCCCAGGCTACATTCTGGTAGAAATATCAAGGTAGGGATTACTTTAGTTGAATATTTATGTCATATTAGGTTGTAAGAAAGACAAGGAGAAAAAGAATCAGTTTATCATGTTGTCCCACTTACTATGTCAATAAGGATTAATGGAACAGTTTATAGGACACAGAATTTCAAAATATCCTATTTAGTCTATACTTATGACATTATCTGCCTCTAGCTTTAAAGATCTTATTAATGGTAATGAAAAAGTTTTGATAAGTTTTAATTCTGCTGTTTCCCTTTGAATCCTTTATGACAAATTTAAGAGCTACAGGACAGCTCAGTGCATTACACATGAAAAAGATTTAGCCTGTCCCTCTCTGGATGTAATTAACACAACGGTTAGTGTTAATGATTTCAAAACTCTATTTTCTCTAACAAAATCAGGCTAAATTTTCAGTCACAGCTCTACCGCTGAGCCACAATCCCAACCCCAGTTTATGTTAATGAACTACTGGAAGGGAACCCCTAGGTAGCTTCAAGATGAGGATGGGTCAAAAGAAGAATCAATTTTGAGTAGAGGGATGTAACTATCAGCTCCACTCTGATACCTCCAGAAGAGCCAAGGGGCCGGGAAGGTGCTCAGTAACCAATCACCAATGATCTAATCAGCCTAGATAATGAAAACTCACAAATTGGGAAAGTGGCAAGCCAGGAAAGAACAGAAAAACTCTGATCTCCTGCTTTGCACCCCCACTATACTTTATGCATCTTGCCCATTTGATTGTTCCTGGATTTTTTTTTAAAGAAAACAGTAATTTAAGTACAGTGCTTTCCTTAGTTCTGTGAGTTGTTCTAAGGCATTATCAAACTTTGAGGGTTAGGGATTATGGGAACCCTAAATTTGTAATTGGGTGAGCATGACTGCTGGAAGTTAGTTGGCGCCATTTGTGGCTGTGCTTCAAGTGAGGACACTGGTGTGATACTGAGCATTTAACATTGGGTGTCTGCTCTCAATCTGGGTAGCCTCAGAAATGAATTGTTGGGCAACCAATTGGTGTCTGAGAATTGCTGTTCAAACCAGAGCGCAGACATTATTGCACACTCTACTGTTCAACTACCACAGTGCAGATTTAAAACGCCAGTAGAAATGAAGTAGTAAAACATCTTAGAGGGCTGGGGTTTGTGGCTCAGTGGCAGAGCACTTGCCTCACACATGTAAGGCACTGGGTTCGATCCTCAGCACCATGTAAAAATAAACAAAATAAAGACTGAAAAAAAAAAAAAAGATCATGCTTTGCAAATTATGAAGTGCTATTCAACATAAGGTTTATAACCAGTGGTAATTTCATCTTAATTTCCCATGAAATCCACTGGCATTCTGAGCATACTGATAGCCTTATTACACCTTTTGGGAAAAGGAACATTTGCCACTCAAATCTGTCTTGAAAGCTTTACCAAGTACGAAAACTCAAATGATAATTTTAACACTTTGATGTGCTTTTGCCCCTGATCTCTGCCTTACAGTCAGAAAGAGGATTATATTTAAAAATAAATCTGTTTTATACCATGGCTCACGGACACAACATGAGTTATTTTTAGCCTTCAAAATTCACTAGATACTAGCTGGTAGACTAGTAGTTTCAGACTATCTCCTAAGGCTAAAAAAAAAAAAAAAAAACCCACAATTCAGGAACATGGACATCAAACACAAGCCTAAAATATTCAATGTGAAAAAACTATTATTGTATTTTCTAACTTCAAAAAAGCTTAGTTAAGTGTTGCAGTTGGTACTTAACTGCCAAACACCCACTTGAAAATTGTTCATATACTTAAAGATTTGGTACCAGGGTTTGAATCCAGAAGCGCTTAACCAGTAAGCCACATCCCTGGCCTTTTGTAATTTTAAAAAAATATTCATTTTTAAATATCTTTATTTTTATTTGTTACTGAGGATGGAACCCAGTGCCTCATACATGCAAGAAAAGAGCTCTACCACTGAGCCCCGGCCCCATCCCTGTATTTGTTTGAGAGACAGGGTCTCACTTAGTTGGTTATGGCTAAGTTGCCAAGTCTGGCTTTGAACTTCCAATCCTCCTGCCTTAGCCTCCCAAGCTGCTGGGATTATAGGTGTGTGCTACTGTGCGACTACTTTAGATCTTAAAAACACAACCTTTTTATTCCTGATACATCTAAATCTGTGACTTCTCCAACTGTATAAAGCCATTCTCTTCCACATATTTCATAAACGTGTTACGATTTAACATCAGGATTACCAAAAAGTTATTTGAATTGATCTTTAAAACTTAATAAGGCTCTACTCAAAAAATTCCACTTGCTGTTATGCTCACTATGTAAGAACTACAAAGAATACCAACTTCTGTCTTCTTTTTCTTGAGCCGACTTTTGAAGTTGGAGGTATGTGTTGAGAATTTTCTCTCTCTGTTCATGAAAAAATCATGTTAATACAGATGCAGAAAGATGAGATGGTATCTCTGACCACATACCAACCTCCACACTGGTAATTAAAAAAAAATAAGAAAGAGTCATGAACACATAATTTTCAAGTTTACTTT